TGCAGCAGGGATCCGAGGACCATGCTTTGGGGAGATGAGCAGGGGGCTGCCCCAGCTGTACAGGGGCCTTCCCACCCTCCCAGTCAGCGTGTCCCAGCGGGGTTCTGCTCCTCCCTCTGCAGTGCCTTCTGTCACCCCTCCTCATCAGTGTCTCCTGCTCTCCTTTCAGCCCTGGGGCTCCTCCCCCCCACCCATACCCACCCCAAGGCTGGGGGAACACCTACCCGCAGTGGCAGCCTCCGGCCCCTCATGACCCAAGTAAGTACCTAGAGCTGCCCCTCGCGAGGGTAGGGTTGGCTCTGGGGAGCAGGTGGGCGGGCAGCCCTGTTCGCCACGTGCTGGCCAGGGTCTGTTCTCATATGTGGCTCCTTTCCAGGCAAAGCAGCAGCGGCAGCAGATCCCAACGCGGCCTGGGCAGCGTACTACTCGCACTACTACCAGCAGCCACCTGGCCCTGTGCCCGGGCAGCCACCAGCTCCCACAGCGCCCCCCGTTCAGGGGGAGCCGCCGCAGCCGCCCCCAGCCGGGCAGTCCGACTACACTAAAGCGTGGGAGGAGTATTACAAAAAACTAGGTAATGCCCTGGGCTGTCCTGGGGGAATCATTCCTCCTATAGCGGGGAGGAGGGGGTGCTATCCAGAGCTAGCGCAGCTAAGCCCCGGGTGAAGAGCGCTGTGCTGGATGGCAGCAGTGAATCGAGGGGCTCAGCCCAGTTCCTTGTGACCCCAGCACTGACGCTGACAGGCCCTAGTGCAAAGGCTGAGCATTGAGGGTCCTGAGAACTGAACTCCAGAGGCAGGTACCTCTTGCTCAGGGCTGAAGCAGACAGGCCTGGCTGCATGCGTGGGCGGGGGGTGGTGCTAGTGACAGGCCGTGGGCTGATTTCCCCAGCACAGAGCAGTCAGACCTGTTCTGAGAGGGAAGGTCTCTGAGGTCAGGTGGAGAAAGGACCATGGGGCGGACCCAGCAAGTTAGCAACGTGCCCCGCAGAATCCGTGTGAACATCCCCAGCCAGAGATGCCAGTTCGTGCTGGTCTCAACCCCACTAGGCAAAGGGGGCGGTAATACTGCCTGACTCCTCCTCCCTCTCCAGCTGCTCACTCCCCTCGCCCACCTGTCCGGGGTCCCTAATGCATGTCTCTGCCCACAGGCCAGCAACCCCAGCAGCCCGGGGCACCCCCACAGCAGGACTACACGAAAGCCTGGGAGGAATATTATAAGAAACAAGGTGAGTGAGGCCTGGAGCTCCTATGGACGGGGGTGGGTGTGTGAATCAGCGAGGAGAGCCCAGCTCCTGTCCGCTGACCATTGGAGACATGGGGGGAGGGGTAGCCCTGTGCCCCTGGAGTCACTGACTCCCCCCACCCTTCTCTCCCCTGCCGCATCGTAGCAGCTCAAGTGGCTACTGGTGGAGGACCAGGGGCACCACCGGGACCTCAGCCAGACTACAGCGCAGCCTGGGCAGAGTACTACAGACAGCAGGCTGCCTACTACGGACAGACACCGGGGGCTGGGGGCCCAGTGCCGCCACCCACACAGCAGGGACAGCAGGTGAGTGATCGGCCATGTGCCCCGCTGCCTGCCTTCAACCCCCAGCTGTAGCTCCTCCTGCCTGGGTGAGACCCTCGGTCCCACGGGAAGTGCTTCCTGAGCGGCATCTTTGTGCTCGTGCACCGGCTCCCACATCGGTCGTCGACGGGGATTCAACCCAGGACACCTCGACCTACAAGCATGAGCGTCTACTGCTTGAGCTAAAGGACCCAGTCCATTAGCTGGAGGCAGTAGTAGACTCGTAAACCTCTTCTATGGATCCGCCACTAGGTGGCAACACAGACCCACGCTGTTCATGTGGATTTACGTTGACCCGTAGACACCTGGGGGGGTGGTCGGAGGAGATGGGAGCTCAGGGAAATGGACAGAACTGGTAAGATTCTCCAGTTTCCACTGGGCTCTTAGCTCCGGCTCACAGGTCCATTTTCAGGAGCTAGGACTTCTTCGTAGGGTTAGGGGTTGTCTTATCCATTGGGGGATGTGGGAGGGATCACTAGTAGTTCGGGGAGATCGGGCTGCAGAGCTGTCGGAATATAGCGAGCGTCAAACCAGGGGAACTCGTTCAAAGAGAACCTGGGTGCAGATGCCTAAGTTTCTGACCAGCTTCTCCTCTCGAAGGTGAGCGCACGCTCGGCAGCGCTGGACTGAAAGCGGCTGTTCGCTGACCCAGGGAGCTAGATTGGCTCCCGCTCAGCCTCTCGCCTGGCCTGCTGCAGCTCTCAGGGTCTCAGGCCTAGCGCCAGGCTGAGCAGTTACATTCTAGGGCCACAGTCTTCAGAAGCAGAAGCCTAAAAATCCGGTTTCAGCCACATTTAGGCACCTGACTAAGTGACTTTTCCAGCAGCGCCTGGTGAATTCACTTGGTCTTGCTAGGGGCTCCGTGCCACCCACTTAGCTGCCTAAATATGCCGAATTTCAAGCAGCCCCCTTTAGAAATGCTTCCCCAGGCCAAGACTTTCATCTGATCTTCAGGACTGACCAAAGCTGCTGCTTCCGAAACCTAGATTCTCTTCCAGACTTGACCTGCCAATTTCCCCTTTTCAAACACCCTGCTTCCGTGGTGGGATTTCCTAGTGTGCAGGGGAGTTGGGAGCCGAGGGCCAGTTTTCCCTCCACTCCCCAACTTGGCAGCGCAGTGCCAGTGCCGTTGCAGCAGAGGGGACCCTGTGTTGCTTTCGGACTCTTCCGTCCGTAGCGGTGTCTATCAGGGGTAACTGACTCCTGTCTCTCTCCCCGATCCTTGCAGGCTCAGTGAATTGAATGTGAACTTCCCACCTGTGAAACCCTTTTTGTTTTTGGAAAGAGAGATGGCCGCTGTTGGGGAAGGGAGCCGGCCCCTGGGTCTGATTGCTGGGTTTCTTAGCGGAACCTCGGCTGCTCCTCCTTCGAGTCTCTTTAAAATAAAAATAAAATAAAAAAATAAAATAAAAATATCTGAATCCTTCATGTTGAGCCAGCTGTAGAAGATAGCGAACTAAAACTGCTGCAAGAACTCAGCCCTCCTGAAACACACGTCGATTTCAGGGTAACATGTTTTTTCTTTTCGTTTTGTTTTTAAAAAAAAAAAATAAAAAACTTTACAAGGAGAAAAAAAATCACTCTGCTTTTTAGTTAGAGTTGGAACATTCCTCGAATAAGGTGTCGGTGTTTCAGATAAAACAACCCCTTTCCCCCTCCCATTTTCCCACAATTGGGACTGGTCTGTCATGTATTTTGTCTGTTCAAGAGGAAACTGAAACAAACAAAATTGTACGCTCAGTTTTTACTTTTTACCGCTTGTTTTTAACTTCACAAATAAATGATAACAAAACCTGCCTGTGTCTGCTGGGTGGCATCTGTCTGTCTGTCCATAGGGTTTTGAAGCGGATTGTTCTCATGATATAGCTGTTGTAAAACCTGATGAACTAGGAGCTCCTGTGGTTTTTTTATAGTTTGAGCGGGCAATTGTGCTTTGTTAAATAAAATGCTCTTTTTGTTTTGAAACCAACTCTGCTGCACTGTTTCCAAACCGAGCAACTGGCGATACGGTGCGCCCTGGGTGCTGCCTGTTACGGGGGGCTTTATGCCGCTGCCCCTCAGCGGGGTATCTGGCCTGTTGAGCTGAAGTTACCCCATGGGGTAAGGAATCGCTTCTGCTGCCTGTTCTGAGGAACCAGTGGCGCTGTGCTCGGTCCATTCAACACCTCTGGTCTCTGAGCAATCCCAAGGGGCTGTAGTTTCACCTCTGATGCAGTGGGAATGGACCTGCCTAGGTAAGGCCTTAGCTGGCCCTATCTGTGTAGTACCTGAACGCCTCCCGCTCATCCCTGTTAGTCCCTACACCCCCCTGGGCGGCAGGCCAGAGCTCTGATCTCCACTGGAGGCACAGACTGTGACTTGCCAGATTCCTCGGGGGTCAGACCTTGCACCTGGTTTCCCCAGTCCTAGGCTGATGCCCTAAGCACTGGACCCTCCTCTGCTTACGGACAGATGAACCTCCCTCGGCTCGGACTCTCCGGCTCGTGCAGGAGGTTGTCCAAGCAGATGCGTGTGAGGGGGACCCGTTGCTTCCCCGACTCGCTCTGGAGGGTCCGGGTAAGACACTGCTCCCATACAGGGAGGGCTGGAGAGCGCTGGCTATCAAAAGCAGCTTTGGAAAGGTTCTTTCCCATCCGCCCGCTGGCCGGTCCCCTGCTTGGGGTGACGCAGGGGGAAGAGAGAACTGTTCTCCTCGTGGGGCCTTGCATTCCAGCTCTCCCCAGGCACTCAGCCCACAGGCAGACCAACCTGCTGCTGGTGTATTTTTTTCCTTAACCTGTGACTTGTGCTGAGTGTCTCTCTCCCCCTCCCCCTTGCTGTTGGCTTTTAAGACTCTGCTTTGTATGACCCGTGTGCAATGTGTGTGTTGTGTGGACAGCGTGTTTCTTTCAAAAGCTGACCTCTGTACAAAGCTGGTGCCTGGCTGGGGCTCTCCTCACTCACATGTCGCTGGGTTTGAAGTCACATATTGGAAAAACAAAAGGACTTTTGGTAATAAACTCAGTGTTTTGATGGATGTGGTCTTGTCTTGGCTGCCCCTTGTCCCCCTAGAAGAACCCTCCCCGCTCTGCAGCCCGGCTGTCTTGTGTCATGCTGTCCTGCTCCTCGGAAGGGGGCTGATGTGGAAAGGCATAGGGCTGATTCAGGGGGTGGGGGGTGCAGCAAAAGGATGTTTCTGTAGCTACTGCCCCGGTGCGTAGGGAGTTAGGGGTTAGGCCAGGAGGCTGGTGAGGTAACTAGCTGCACTAGACGGCAGAGGAGGGAATCGCACCCTGCGCTGTTTGCCCAACTCAAAGCAGCCAGCGGGGTGGAGCTGTGGCCATCTCCCCTCCCCTCCCCTGGGGTGAGGAGGGTCCCGGAGTCATTCGCTCTTTGCCCTAGGCCAGACCCATCTTGCCTGGCTCCCCTGCCTGTGTCAGATACTTTCCTTGTCTGCAAGGCCCTGGATTCCTGCTGGCTGGTTCTGTGCAGCTGGGCCCCTGCCGCACTAGGCACCTTGGCTGCCTGGCTGGGGATGGGGAAGGGCCTCTCTGGGAAAGGGACCTGCATGCGGGGTCAGCTCTGGGCCAGCAGAGGGTGCTCACGCCCTAACCTGAGCCCCATGGGGTGGGGCAGGTGCAGAGGGCCGCCTCGCGTAGGGCAAGCGCAGGGCCAGGGCCCGAAGCTGAGCCTTTATTTGAACACAGACCCAGCCGCGGGGCGGCCCGGGCAGGGCACCAGGCACCTGGCCTAGCGGAGGCTGTCGATCACCGAGCAGCACTTTGCGAAGATGGCGTCTTCCGGCTCCTCACCAATAATCTGCAGGACAAACAGAGCAGCTGGGGGGGAGCAGCCCATGCCATGGGGCCCCCAGCTCTATTCCCCTGCCCCTGGCATCAGTACCCGCCCCCCGGGAAACTTGGCTGTGCCTGTGCTGGGGGCATGCGGCACTAGGCCCTGCTCAGAACCGCTGGGTGTTTGCAGCTTTTGGTCAGCCCAGGTCCATCCTCCCACCCCCGGCTGACACTGAGCTCCTACGCGGGCTGGCTCTGGCCCTCTCCCCGCGCAGCCCCGAGGGGCCTGCCCACGCGCTCAGCCCCTGGAGGATGTTTCCACGCGCCTGGTGAGCGGAACCCAAGATCCTGCTAACCCGGGGGTGGGTGAAGCTGTTGGCATAGGCTGTGCCAGGGAAGGGGCCATAACCCCTAGTTCAGAGGGGCAGGGCCCTTCCCCCCCGCAGGCAGCCAGCGGCAGGGCTGCCTGCAATGGGCTCTGCTGGGAAAAGGGAGGGGTTAATGCCCAGCAGGTCTGTCTCGGGGCGCCCCCCACCTACGTTTCTGAGCAGGTTCTTCTGCTGGTAGTAGCTGATGACGGGCTCGCACAGCGAGTAGTGAGTCTCCAGCCGCTGGCGGATGCAGCTCTCGTGGTCGTCGGCCCGATTGCCAGTCTGGCCCCGCAGCAGCAGCCGCTGGATCATGGTCTCCGTTGAGCAGTCCAAGACGATCACGAAGTTGGGAGGACGCCCCACCTGTGGCATGGTAACCCCTCCGTTCAGGGGGGCAGCACCACCCGGGCAGGCTGCTCCCTGGCCAGACACCGGAGGGGGGAGCTGAGGAATGGGCACCAGGACGTTCCCGTGCAAGGCGAGAGGATGGGGTGGGGGCAGAGGCCCTGGAGAAGGGGGGAGCCGGGCCAGTGCCAGCCCATGACGGAGCCCTCCTGGGTCTGAGTTAGGGAAGGGGGGAGAAGTGGCTGCATCTCCAGCATGTGCTCAGCCCCTCTGAATGCCTCATGCTGCCTCCCACATGCCACATCTACCTCCTGGGTGTCAACACAGCCCACCCCCTGCTCTGGCCAGGGGCTGCTGGGCCTTCCTCCCCCCAGGGCACTTACCACGCGCTCAAAGTCCTTGGCCTGGTTGAGCTCCCGGGGGAAGCCGTTGACCAGGAAGCCCTTCGCCTCCTCTCTCTGCAGCAGGTTCTCGTTCAGCAGGTCGAGGACGAAGCCCTGGGGAGACAGGAGCCCCCTCAGCGCTGGGGGGGAAGGGCTTTGGCCGGAGCCACCCCTGGCTGCGTGAGCTAGCGCCCCACCTCCCCCTGCCCACGAGACTCAGGCTCCAGGACCCCAGACCCACACTCAGCTCCTGGCCTCTCCCAGGTGCCTGCTAGTGGGGCAGCCGAGCCCCAGCAAACTCCTTCTACCAGGCACCAGCTGGGCTGGAGCCAGACCGGGAAAGGACGTGGGAGAGGGATGAGCGTGGCTAGGTATGGCAGGAGGCAGAGCCGGGAGCCTGGCGCTGGCAGAGGGCAGTGAGAGCCAGCGGGCGGCTGATCCCTGCAGCCCGGGGGAAGGCTCTCGCACTCGCAGGGCTCTTTTGCAGCCTGGGAACATTTCTTGGGGCCCCTAGGAAGGGCCAGGTGCTGAGCTGATGAGTGGGATCTGGGGGTGCTGCAATCCGTGAGGGGAGGGAGGGAGGGAGGGAGGGGAGCCTCACTGAAGGCACGAGCGCTCCTTTCAGCATGATGTCCTTGATTTGTCGCCCCTGGCGCGTGGGCTCGCTGGCTTCCGCCCGCAGCAGGTTCCCCATGCCCAGGTGCTGGAACTGGTACTTGGCAGCCAGCCTCTCGCACTGTGTCCCTTTGCCGGAGCCCGGGCCTCCTATCACGAAGATGATGACTTGTGACTTCAGCATCTCTGCGGCGAGAGACAGAGGTTGGGCAGGGGGAAGGGGTGAGACAAGCATCTCCCAAGGCGCATTGGACAAGCCTGATGCTGCTCCATTTGATGAGATCCCAGCCCAGAGCGGGGTGGCTGCGGGCACGAAAGAGGCACGATTGCTGCTGCTCGATGGGGAAATAAGCTAAGGGGAAGGGACCTGGCGTGCCCGACAGTGAGCACTGAGCTAGACGGACCCTGGTCCGGTCCAGTGTGGTAACATCCCCATCTCAACCATGCAGTAGACATCAGCTCCTGAAAACCCTCGTTAATTTAGAGCGGGGGCGACTGCCCTAGAGCCGCCGCTGTAAGTATCCCACTACTGCCACCAATGTGCTTCAACCTGGCCCTGGAGAGACCCCTCTCGTGGCAAGCTTGCTCTCCGTGGCCCACCGCTCACCCCCATAAGGGGCCCATTAGTTGGTGGGTTTTGGGCTGTCCCCATTAGGAACTAGAGTCGCCATGCTGGCTGATGGGAGTCACAGCTCGAGCCCCTCTGGTGTCAATGCCCAGGAATGGCAAGGGTAGAACCAGGAGCAGAATTTGGGCCAAGGCCTTTCAGTTACTGCCAGCTGTTACAAAGCAGCCACCTCGCTGGGACCTGCCCCCGCGAGCAAGGCCTCTGTGACAGCCAGGGTTAAAATGCCTGCTGAGCTGTTTATAAAAGCCAAGGGGCTTTGGTGTGAACCGGCCACCCCATAAATCGCATTCAATCATTCTCTAGAGACATCTCTACTCCGTACAATGAACTAGCAGCCGGGGCAGTTAGGGGCTACATAATGCCCCTCAGCTACCACGAGGGGCCAGATAAGAACACAGATGGGAGAACCAGCTGAGCTCTGTTCATTTCTAGCCGGGATAAATTGGTGGAGGAGCCGGGCCTGACCTTAAACCTGCGAAGAGAGCCCCTAGAAAACCCAGCCTAGTCCAACCGCTCCAGTGTAGTCGTTTGAAGCTACTGAGCGTTGTTCTTTCTCCAAAGGAATTTAATGCTGTGAACAGGCTTGGGTTGGTAACTCCGAGGCCCGGCATTTACCTATGCAGTCACGCTGCGCTGCCGGCACGCGCTGCCACATGCCCACCCCCTTCCCTGGCCCAGATGGACACACTCACTGCCACTCCATGTGCACCCATCTCCTCCCTCGGACTTTCTGCGCCAAGCAGGGAATGAGTTTTGATCATCACCCACGGGAGCTGGATTCCAGGTGGCGAGGCCGGGCTGGTGGGTTTCACCCCCCCCCCATGCTCCCTCCAAGCCAACATCCAGCGTCCCTATTGCAGTGAGATCAGGGTACACCCCGGACCAGCGTCTTCCCCCTACATCCCAGCCAAGCTAAAGTGCTGCTAGCAAATATGCATGGTTTTCCTCCTGGAGCCAAATGCCTTCTGTTGACCTGCTGGCCGAAGCAAGAGTTCCCGGAAGAGTCATACGGTAACAAGACAACAAATTAAATCCTCCATCGGGGCCCAGCCTCTCCATTGCTTGGGCAGATTTGTCCCTTCTCAGCTCTGACCACTAGACCCCACTCCTCTCCCAGAGCTGGGACTGGAACCCAGAGCCCTGGCTCCCTGGGCTCTCACCAGCAAGACGTACCCACCCCTTCATACATTTTGATGCCCCCTGAAAGCACAGAAAGCCCCACCCCGCCATGCCCCCAGAGCCCGCTGGCCATTTACCCTGCAGTTCAGGATTCAGAGGCTTGGCGGTTTTAGGAAGCCGGGCCTGGCAGAGTCCCATCTTCCAGGGCACAGACCGTTCCCCCGCTGCACTCCCTTCCCCGGGGGGCCCCCGCAAGGTGCTGGCCTGGCCTGCAGCCCTCAAGCGCCCGTGTAAAACTAATCTGGCCATTTTAGCCCGGGCCCTGCTGCTTCGCCAGCCGGGCTTTCTGATGTCACAAGGCAGCCAGGAGCTGGCCTGTCGCCTGGGGACAGGAGCAGCTGAGCGGGTGCTGGGATGCGCGGGGGGCGAGTCCAGTCGGTGCTGGGAGTGGGGGGAGGCCAGAGCCCGTGGCCTAGTGACCAGAACGATAGAACCAGGACCCCTGGGGCCCCTCCCAGCTCGGCGACTCGCTGGGCCTCAGTTTCCCCCAGGGGAGGGGGCTAGATTCCCGGCTCCGAGATCTCCGGACGGGCTGAGTGGCCCCGTCTGCCCCCCCAGACTGCGGGCAAGGGGCAGGAGAAGGGCCCAAGGGGACAATGGGGCTGGGGGCAGGGCCTTGGCGCCGGGGCTGGGGGCAGGCGCAGCCGGGCCAGGATCCAACGTAAGAGCAGCTGCATTCCCCCCTCCCCCACCCAGGCGGCGACGGGCCCCGTGCCCCCCCCAGTTACACCCCATCCCCGGGGGCGACGGGCCCCGTGTCCCCCCCCATCCCCCACCCCGGGGGGCGACGGGCCCCGCGTCCCCCCCTCCCCCACCCCGGGGGCGACGGGCCCCGTGTCCCCCCTCCCCCACCCGGGGGGCGACGGGCCCTGTGCCCCCCCC